CATCTGAGAATCGCTTGAATATTCTTCTCTCGACGATCTTCTGCTGTAGAGTGTGGAGTCGCGCGCAAAGTATTATATCGCATCCACGTGAAAATTTTGACATTCCTAAGCCGCCCTCGAAGGGTCGAAAAGGTGGCCTCCCTTCTTGAATATTAACTGAATATAAAATCGCGTCCTTTCTCCAAAAAGAAAAAAGTTATTCGGCGCAGATTTCTCGAGGGTCGGTTAGGTATAAATACAACAACTCATTTAATAATATATATATATATAATAAATAAAATATATACTAGAAATAAATACCTATATATAAATATATAAAAAAATAGCGCCAAAAAGAAGAAAGGAAAAACTTTGAAAGAGCTTTTTTCTTTTAAAAGCATTTTATTTTCGACGGGCCCGGTACCGAATATTCTACAATATATATCCATTATATAAAACAAGAATGGGGCGAAACTCGCGTTCGCGCTAATCCTGCATTCTTTTTGTACAGGGACCGACAACAATTGACGGGCCATTATGGTAACCCGATTAGAATCTGTCACGTAAAAATTCACGAAAACTCGGATATGAACTGGCGGTGGTGAAAACGAGAGACCGCGGCGCTCTAGCACAAAAGTAGTTTACACCGAAAAAGCCGCCGTCGCGCGCGGAATTTAAGTTCCTAACTATTTGAACGGCTGCCAGAAATAAAGTCCCCTGCGAAGTAGTGACGCCGACCGGAAATTATTTCTTAAGTTCCGCAACGCAACTTTATTTCGACGATAAACGGTCCGGTTCTCGCCGGCGCTTAAAACGCCGACGTTCAAAACCTGTAGCAATGAACAACGGACTGTTTAAAGTGTTCAAAGTGTAAAGCAATGAACAGTGTTGCGTCGTTTTTGGCGCACGATAACGTAAACAGTTTATGGAAGAACGAGCGACAGCCTCTTTTGATTAATGGAACGATAAGAGCGAAAAAATGTAAAGTCGTAATAATAAATGATGCTAGCAACTATCTATTGCAACTTTTACAGATCATAATAGAAATCTTTAACGCGCGATAAGGGCAAACGTGTTAGACAGTGCGAGAAAAGGCTAGGAAAAACAAGTAAAACTTGCGAATTCTCGACGTTAACAAATCCGATGTGTTTTCTCACAGGAAATCATTAATCAAGATTTTTTTTCGTTTTTCCAAAAATTGAATAATAAATTTCAAACAGACCCGAGATGTGCTATATGAATATACGTAATTTGGCACAAAGTGTGTTTTACAACGCGTATATATAATAATATATTATCAAAATTAAATACAAAAAATATATGCATATACTATACGCGAGTTATTAAATTGTGCGAGTATAGAGATTAGTTATTTATTAGACGATTGATGTATCATAGACTTTATCTCTATTATTCAATTCTGTAATTTGATTGTTTCATTGCAATATATGAAATGTATTAACTAATGAATAAATAAATTACATAAAAGACGTTTCGAAATCATTGTAATACATATTAATTACACATTAATTATATACAAATTAATTAATCATTAATTATATTATCGTAACAATCGAAATTCTTTTTTAAGCGATCGCAATTATCGAAAAATTATTTGCTATATACAATTAAAGTGTATATATATTTCCTAACGATAGATCTAGAAACGGATTTTTTGCGCAATTTATATTCATTTAATTAAGTAAGATTCGAAGAATAACAAGAATACAAATTAAATCGTTGCAATTTTTACAGACAATAATTATTTTGTTAAAAATATTTAGAATCAATTGATATAATATAATCTATCAATTGATAGAATATAATTATATTTCGTTCGATGCTCTATCGTTCGACTTTTCGACGATTTAAATATAATTCGAATTGAGAACACGCCCGTAAACAATAGAATCGCAAAATCCAGTTATGAAGATAAGCTTTGTGATACTTTCATAGTTTAATCAATAATGTTTTAAAATATTCACATAAAATTTAATATACGCACGTCAAATATTTCGAGCCAAAAATACTTAAAATCAAAAGCTTTATATTATCAAGTTTTATCGGCGATCTAAATATAATTTACTAAAAATAAACGCGCAATAAAGCAATCGAATCGTATAATCGAATGAATAAAATAAAATGATATATTAATCGTTTAGTAAATAATTAAAATCTTTATATCTTAAAAATATTAATATATATCAGATATCCTATATAAATAATACATATGTATTATAGACGCGTAATCAAATTTATTTGAAGAAATCATATATTAGCAAAAGGAGCCGAAATATTGTACATACCTCGGTCAAGCTGTTCCGGCGGATGTTCGTGTATCTCATTCCTAGAAATTTTTAATGTATAAGAAAGATCTCTTCACTAGCTGTATCGACATTCAGCTTCGAAGGGTTATGGAAAAATGATACGCTTGAACGGACTTTATAAGTTAAAACGAAAGTCGAATGATATGTAGGGGAATAATATACCACGATCGTTCGTTCCACCATTTGGATCCACGAAATATTCCGTTTATTTCACAGAGCATGGAATTTATCCCGACCTGTACCTCTCTCTGGTATTTCGGTCAGATATTTCATAACCCTCTATTGCAGCTACGGTGACTAAAAAATATTTCGATATCTGCATACTTATTGATTTTACTTCTTGAGCACTACTACTTTCTCCTCTGCTCTCTTTCTCTCTCTCTTATCTTCATTTATTCTCTTATTTTCTTTTCATAATATCCTTTTAGTTTTCTTATCAAATTATGTTTTCTTTCCCTACGCGATGCAATTTCAACAGACCTGAATATCTGTATTCGTCAAATCGAGAAATCAGAAAGATTATGTAAACAGACTTGCGAGAAAAGTTTCATAAAAATAACATGTAAATTTTAGATTATATATGTGTTTTAAAAATTACAGAACTTCACACGAGAGAGAAAGAGAGAGAAATGATGTACATACATATCTCGTATCCAACTAGATACATTTTTTTGCATATGTCAGTGACTGCATCCGTCGTCCCGCGCGGAAAATAGATGAGTTCAAGTAACTCGAGAAAAAAAAGAAGAGTATATATATATATATATATGAGAAAGGAAAAGTTGAAAAAGAGTATCGTTTTCGTATCGACCAATAGCGATGCGAGACTTAACTATTTTCTCCAACGAGAAAGATTGCATCCTCTCGAAATGAAGTTTTGCTGCCTCTCTTTTTGAAGCCCTCGTCATCATCGTAAATTTATACTTCACTCGAAACACGTCACTCGTGCTCGCGGCACCGTGATTAATTCAGTTATCCTATGCGCATAATTATAATCGCTCGCCGTTCAAATATATACATACATATAAATTCCGAAACTGCAAGTGTTTCTCAGTTTCTCTTTTCGACGCCGGTCTCATTAATCTCGGACGGAATTATTTGCTCGAACACGAAGCCTATATGTATCTGTATATATTTATATATGTATAACTTACAGTGCCATTCGTTAATGGAAGATTTTTGAGGCAATTTAGAGATGATTTTTCCTCAGTGAAAGTGTCCAGGCACCAATAAATAATTTTCAAGTTATAAACGATTGAAAATAAAAGCCTTTTTGTAAACTGAGCCCTGTGAAAATAAATTATTAATAAGACTATATTTTTCAGTTAATTTCAGGTAAAGTTTACTTTAATAGAATTTTAATTTAAGGCTTAGTTACGAAGATGATTTCCAAAATTGGAAACATTAAAAATGATGATTTTTCTCGACATTTTTGCCGAGGAAAAATCATCTCCAAATAACTTTAGGAGTCTCTCATAAACAATATATATATATATATATATATATATATATATATATATACCCTGTCAAACATCCTGGATGAAAGCTCGATTTTGATCTTCAAAGTGTCTATCAGTCTTACGTCTGTCATTAATCAAATATAATCGACAACTGCGATATTGCCGGCTATCAATCATTCATTTGGTAGCTCTGGCTAGGTCAGTCGCGAATTATCCGCCAGCGCATACCGGTTATGCATCGATGATAGATGCTAATGCGATTACTATGTGCGTTGGAACACGATAGATCCATCAAAGGTAAATATTGGTGCTATATATTAGAATTTTCTACGTCTTTCTCTCTATTTTCTCTGTTTGGCATGCATCTTTTAATTAGTGTACGGACATAGTGCAACTCATACGTCGGCCATGTATATCGTCCGCGACGAGGGAAACATCGCGCCGGAGAAAACATGAATAAGAAGAGACCGAAACGGGGACGGAGAGGCGAGAGAAACTGGGGGAAACTGCAATTAAGTGGCGTGGAACGCGAGTGTCACGAGAACATCGTTACGGCATCGAGATCGCCATTATGCCGCGAAGAGGACGATTCTAACGACGTTGGCGGCGACCAGCCGTGATTTATGGTTGAGCGAAAACACGCCGCGAGACACCGTGGATTATGTATCTCCGACGCGGAGAGCAAGTTTTCGAAAGTACTTTATACGAGAGAATAGATTAAGAGAATAATGCATGTGGCTTTTGTCATTAGCGAAATTAGCCTCATTTTCGCGTTAATACGCGAACGAACTAGGAAACTTCGGCGTAACACAAGACCGAAACAAGCACCGTGTGGTAATTACATGAAGAGAAGGAAGCAGCTCTTCAAAATTGATTGTACAGAGTGCCGCGGATTTATCTAGTTCGGGAAAGTTGATCGATGGCTCCGCCATCGAGAAAATTGTCCGACTTTGAATAATTCTCGCGCTTAAAGGTGAAATCCGCTGTCGAGATGTTAAGCACTGTCTCTCTTCCCTTCGACCATTAATAATATCCGCGGATCCCGATAATGACGACGATTCCGAGACACCCTATACAAACCCCGTTGATTTACGAGCCGCATTGCGGTCGTCAGATCAAAGTGCATATCGTTGGGTCGCTGGCGGTAGTGGGAAATAGCAGCTCTCTTGATTGCTTCGAGTTGCCAAGTCCCGGACGGTCAAATGAACATACGCGCAATGACGCGCTCACTTACCTGACACCGCTAGATGGACAGTTCTGATTAATGGTGGGTGGGCGCTGACTTGACACTCGTAAAGGCCGGCATCGCGTTCCGTGGCAGAGCGCAGGAGCAATCGCCAGTCATTAGGCTTCTCAAAGGCCAGGGAGAATCTGGAGTCGCTCGCGTACGTGTCCAAGCCGATGGTCAGCAAATGAAGCTCGTCTCCTCGTCTACGCACCCAGGATACCTGGAATGAGAGAATAATAGTGCGTGACATCTCCCGTTCGTTCTACAATTTTTCAATTTAAATCGAAAAGGTTCTGACATTACAAATAATTATTATTTATATTATATTTATATATATATATATATATATATATATATATTATATAGACATGTGAATTATTAAAATTTATTCCTCTCTATACTTATTTTGAACTTTTCGGTCCTATCTTTGGATCTTCAGCACATCCATTAGTAAAGAAATCCACGTATATAATTTATATGCTGACAATGATCTAAAGGATCGAAACGTTCGAAATAAATTTAAAAATAATTCTGTTGCATCTAATATAAGCGTCTAGTTTTTATTAGAGCTCTTTTCAATTTTTAATTAATCAGGGAATTAAAAAAAGTAATAGAAAGAATATATATAAATAATAATAATCTCATAATTATAATATTAAATAAATAATAAAAATATATATCAATAAGTGAATATATACATATATAATAAAAATAATAATAGAGCATTTTATAATTAATAATAGATCCACGTATATAATTTATATGCTGACGATGATCTAAAGGATCGAAACGTTCAAATAAATTTAAAAATAATTCTGTTGCATCTAATATAAGCGTCTAGTTTTTATTAGAGCTCTTTTCAATTTTTAATTAATCAGGGAATTAAAAAAAGTAATAGAGAGAATATATATAAATAATATAATAATCTCATAATTATAATATTAAATAAATAATAAAAATATATATCAATAAGTGAATATATACATATATAATAAAAATAATAATAGAGCATTTTATAATTAATAATAGAGGGATTGGAATGTCTCAACAATCACTTAAAACTGAGAAAAATGCACATATATTTCTCGTCTCCTTTCGGTCACCTGCTGATGATCTCCGAAAATTATTAGCTTTGGGGATTTTCTCAAAAGTCGCTATTCACCCCCTGAGACTTTACGTACAAGCGAGAGTGCAGACAGAGCACATTTATATGCGGTCGAGTTCTGAGTGGACGTGCAAGAATAGTCTTGTTCCTTTCGCGAAAGCGCCAAGAACACTTTGCATAAATCATGCTCATCGAAGCTAATGGAACAACGTGCCATAAAAATACGACCGTATTACCCGTAAATCACGCAAAGTTATACCGTTAACGGCTGTTATCCGACGCAAATATATACGTCCGCAATTTTAAAATCGATTGTATCGTCCCCATTTTTCTGTGAAGCGTTGCGCGTAAACAAAAAACTTCTGACAATTTCCGACAAATTTCACCGTAGGAGAGATAAATTCGCGGAGAATCATTTTCAGCATTAATTTCCCTCGCTCTTAATTTCTATCGCGTTAAGATGGGGAGGAACGGAAATCGATATATCACCGTTTCCGCAAGAAAAAACATTTTTTGAACTTTTTTGTTTGTAACGCATTCTCGAAATTCACCGCCACATTTTAATTAACACTACGGATTATGAAAAGATAATTTTCGCGTCGATGTTACAAGTTACGTCTTCCGCGAGTAGCAGCAAATTGAGGCCAGGTGCGAATATCGTGAAACTTCTCTTCCGATAATATCATTGAAACAATTTATTCCGATACTTATGATCCGACACACAAAAGTTTAATAACGGAGAGAGAAGTTAAAGAATCGTTAGGCATCGCGTTGCAAGAGCTGCCATTACACCTGTCTCTCTCTCTCTCTCTCTCCCTTTTCCTCCTCCTCTATTTCTCTCCCTTTCTCTCCTTCTCACTCTATTTCTCTGGAAGCGTATCCTCCAAATAGAGAACAGAGCGAGAACGGAAGGAATAGTCATTTGTCATTATTATAAAGGACTCAGGAGTGAATAATTACGTCTTAGTAAGTTTATGTCTAAGTCGTCTGCGCAACATTTAACTTGATTTCCATGTGACGCTCCGCAAGCATATCATTTACAACCGGGTACGTTGAATTACGCGTTATTAATTAGATCCTACAAAGACTCTCTCTCTCTCTCTCTCTCTATTTCTTTTTCCCTCTCGCGCGCCGCATAATTTTCAAGAATTATTTATATAAATTAAATACCGGGGCACGCGCGCGTACACCCAAACGCCATTCGCTCTCGCGTTCATAATTAGCATAGTTATACGTATCGTTTCGCATGTTAAGTGTAATAAGCGTGCTTACCCCGGTGTAAAATATGCGGTAAAGTTATGCCGCGAAACGGCCATCCGGCTTGACCATGGGGGGACCGAAGCCACCGCAAGGGGGTGAAAGGTCACCAAAGTTTCGATTTTGCATTTATGCGTGCAGAATACCGCGTTTCCTCTGTGCCAACCCCGCGAAAGCCGGGCGACGCGACAGGCCGCGCGCTCGCGCATTTATCACATGCAAATTGAGCCGCAAACCAAACGTCAAAGCAGCACGTGGGTCTGTCCACGTCACGACGAGTATACAAGGCCGCGTTATTTTAGAAACTCCTCTTGCCACACCCGGTTGTCGACCGATTTATTCGTTACAACTGCATTATTCCGTGCATCGAAAAAATGGTGCACTCTTAAAATGCATACTTTATTAGTCCTCTTATAACAGATACTCTTAATAAATATTTCCTTCTTTACATCGTCATGCTTTTTAGAATATCCTCTTAAATCAAAAATATATTCTTCATCTTCTTTTTGCAACTGTAATTCAGCAATAAATAAATATAACAAATTTATAAGTTATCAATTAATATTAAAAATAATAATATAATATAAAATATGTGTATTTAATGTCAGTAAATATTGAATATTATATGTTTAACGATTTTAAATATCTATGTAATAAGTAAATAATAAATGTCCATTTGTAAGACTGTTTTTTGTTATCACGATTAATAATTTTAAATAATACATTGATAAAAAAAACATCCTATTAAGTATATATTTTTGTTAAAAATATTTAATAAGAATATCTATATAGAGAATTTTCCTCTCTTAAATTAAGAGGATCCTTTCGGCGCTTATTTTAATGGAAGATATTAAGATAAGTGGCATATATTTAAGATATAAGAATACATTTTGTTCGGTGCATCAATATTCGATTACGTCAAGATTAATTGCTAAGATTGTCAAAATTGTAAATAATAATCTATTTCAAATGTACTTGATTTAATTTTGTGTCGCACGAATATTTTAGATTGACTTTACTTTTCGGATTAGAAAGTTCTTGCTCAGGCTCAATAATTTATGTGTGTTGAAATATAATATAATATATGAGTAGTAAATATTAACACTAAGCTTATATATGATACTTCAGATAATCTATTAATGTAAATGTTCAATACTTAACTAAAGTGTTATCGTATACACTCTGTGTTTGATGTATATAGATACAGATCGTATTTGATGATACAATGGATTATTCATAAAATATTTATAGATATGCGCACGCGAGCATACGCGGACATTCGTCAAATTAACGATTTATACATTCAATGTTTCGGTTGTTGATCAATACATGGCAATATGCTGTTTGTTTATTTACTTCATTTTAAGTAAACATTTATCCCGGATATACCACACACGGGCGACTTCCCCTTTTATATTCCATCAGCCAGTGTTCACATTTTACGTTTGGAAGTATATAAAAAAAATGTAATGGAAATGTTTATGCGTCAATCAATTCCCATTCAAGTTAAGCGCAAAACCGTCCAATAAATCTGCGAAAACACATGCTATATGTCTACGTAACTCGATGTATTATTAACTGTTTTCAAAATATTGGCAAACACAACCATTCAACGTTGATATTGGATATCTAAACGTTTCGTATCTTTTTACAATTCTATATTACCTACTATTGCCTGATGGGACAATTATTTTGTTATTAACAAAAATCAAAATTTTGCAAAAATATTTTAATTTGAAGTGGAAATCCATCGCCGCTTCTAAAAAATTTTCCAAAAGAAGTTACACCCTTAAAAATCCCCTTTCTCAGCAAAGAGAAAAAATTTGAATTGAATAAGGTACCAGTCGAAAGTAATCTTGCAAATTTGTGACGCACACACATACCGATAATGCTGAACAGCGCATAGTATTAAAATACTTAAAGTTCCGGAATCCTCTCTGGTTAAGTGCGAAGCCTCTTAAATCACCGCGAAACGCGCGAGAGTTACGTGGTTACAACTTCAACGGCGGGGATCTCGTTTCGGGCAACCGTGATCTCTAACGCTTGTCGAAATCCAGTAAAGTCAGTTCTAACTGGAATTCGGGACCGCCGGGCACAAAGGTAAGAAAATTGGATTCGCCGATAGTGGTTCATCGATAGAGACCGGCAAGATGGGAACCGCAATCGTGTCTATATCCGTGTCGTCGAACGATTGTGCGCGAGAAGATTTGAAAAGAAAAAAAAAGGGAAAAAATCGTCGCGTAAACTCGCGCGCGCGAGTAGCTTGAAAACGACGGGAAACGAGGAGAAATAACTTCATTGTCCGACGCGACGGAAAAGCGTCGTCGAGAGGGAGTCACGTTTGCAAAACTTTAATTAGTCTTTGAACCTCTTATTTGACGAGCCGCGCGACAAAACTTCGGCCCTATGGCTGAAGAAAGCTGCTAAGGCTCATCAGTGATGACGCTAGGTGAACTAAATACTAAAGATAATAGACGGAGCAGACCGAAGCGAGCCGGAGAAGGTGAAGAATAATTAATTAAAAATAATTTAAACGCCAAATAGTACGAGATTATCTTTGAGGAAAGAGAAACAAAGTATATCATCAGGAGGGAGCTCTGACTGAAAACGCGCCGAGTAAAATTGCTGGCGTAATTGTACGTTTGTACTGGACTCGTAGATACATTTTTCTCGCGATCTCGTATTACATATAATGATGAAGCAATTGTTCAGATTGTTAATTAAAACGCAGCGACGCGAAAAACATAATGCATCACACATTTGCGCTCACAGACATATCCATACATAAACTCCATATAATTAAATGTTTAATTAATGTATTTAATATATTAAATTTATTGTATGTTAAATAAAATATA